GAGCTACTTGTGGTGTCTTTTCTTGCCTTTCTTAGGCTTCTTTCCACGTCCCCCTGGCCTCCCCTTTTGGGGAAGCTCAAGGGTTTGGAGCGGTGACATCAAAGACTTATTGTATTGTCGGGCATGTGCTTTGGCTGGTGCGTTAAAAGTCAACTTCAGTTCAGCAAGCGCGGCTAGACCTTCGTTGATATAGATTCGGGCCGTCTTGGACGAGGCCCACCTCCCCTGAACTAGGAGGCGATCCAGCGAGCCATGTCGTCCGAAGTACATAGTGGCCCCTCCTCTCCGAAGGCTGTAAGGACGGAAGTCGTGCCCTTCCAGCTGACAAGCTTCTAAGGCGTCATTGAAAGTCTTTCTCCAACTGTGGGCGGTGCCACAGAGCAGCGAAGGTGAATTGGGGTGTGTAGCCATTGCCAAAGTCGTCGAAGGGTCTCCTCTTCTCTGATTGTAACACTTTCACTTGCTCCTACTCTCTTCCCCCCCTTTGTCATTCCGAGGGAAATGACAGCAGGTGACCTGGGTCCTACCTGAGTGACATGAGTTTTTCGGATGCCTAGAAGCTCCCCGGTGCGCAGGAGCCCGTGGAAGGCTAGGAGTAGGGAGAGTCCAAAAAGCCCATTTCCAGAGAAAAGTGCGTACCCGACAAGAACGTGTAGTGCCTCTACCGGCAATGGTGGTGCCCTGTTTGGTATTTCATTAGTCTGCCAGGTCCTCATCAATCTCCATGCGCTCGGGAGGTGACCTCGAAGTGCGGGCTGCTGGTATTGTACAGAAGCAATCGTGTCACAGGCAAGGGCCCGGCCCTCGCCTGTTTCCCAGAGGAACTCTATGTACTGTGAGAGGAGGTAGTCATGACCAGGCGCATCCCTTGGGGATACACGTCCTTCATCCTTCAAGAAACTCTTGTACTTATCCAATGCTTTATTGTATCGATCTCTAGTCTTGCTCTGCACTGAGAGATTGCGGAGTGGGCCTAAACGTCTTCTCTGTTCTTGTCTGGCTGCTTTACTTCTACCTTCCAGGTGCGCTGTCTGTCTTCTCACCATTTTTTGCGAACGGGCCGCCTAGACGGCCGATCTGCTGGGTTTTGAGAAGTATGGACATACGCCCATACTCCATGGTTGCCAGAAGCTAGAAGTAAAGCATCTATTCGACAAAGCGTTCTCCTCATCTTCCTGCTGCTGCTTCGTCCACGCGACAGAGAATGTAGGCACACGAGACTATCGATCATATGGATAAATTTTGAGCCGAAGGTCTTTTGCTTCACGATGGTGGTGAGGACGGCCCTCATCTCAAGCACGTTGATATGTTCGGGGCTGCCGCGCCAGTGCCATCCAGTTATGGTCTTCCATTCCAGAGAGCAGCGGGCAGACTAGCTCTGAGACGATGGTATCGGAGCGTCTCCTCGGACTGGGCCTGAATCATAATGTCCTCACTTTTCAAGCTGACCAAGTTCAGAAGCTTCTCAACCAACTTTTGGCTACCAGGGATGCTCCCCTCAGCTGTAGGAGCATTAAGCGGCGGTCTCTGCAAAAGCCCAGCTACTGTAGCGCTTGTCCCCGGTGTGGTTAAATCAACTGCCTCTTGAGGGCTCAGGAATGAGCATAGTCCCAACTGGCCTCCCAGCTGAGAAAGCAACCAGGTCACCACCGTGACATTCCACGTGTTGCCGACTAGCGTCTTGCGCTCATCCATGTGGGCCTCGGTGCCATGGAATTGCTTGCTCATGCACTGAAACGTGTAGTCCTTTGGAAATCCCATGATGACTTCCCTCTCAACAATGTTTGGCAGCCGCAGGCTTCCTCCTGGCTCCTTCACGAGATTCTTCTGCTGATATTGGTACGGCGGAAACCTGTATCTATCCTGCTTCCATGCCTGGCGCTCCTCCTCGTCCAGAGTGTCAAGACCTGCTGGCTTACGTCCAGGGTTGTCCCGAGGTCGCGAGGTCGTGAAGGTGGGGAGTGGCCCTGGCGAGGTACGTTGGCAACCGTCCATGAGGAAAAGCTCGGCCTTCACTTGTGCATGAAGCTCCACGGTCTTGCAACGAGCACTCAAGGGCTTTTCCTTGCAACTGGGGCTGGGTTTGGTAACTGGGTCTGCGTATATCAGTGGGCCACTTTGTGGTAAACTCACAAAGTGACCCACTGCACAATTGCTGGTGACTGTGAGGTGCGATTCACGCTGATGTCACTGATGACTGTGATGGCTTCCAGGTTCTGAAGTGATGCGGTGACGGTGATGGAATGTACCGCGGCTATTGCTGCCAACTCCTTGCGCCTTGCGCTTTTGAACGCCAACCATGATGGTTGACCCCCGTCAATAAAAGAATAACTCCAACCATGATGGTTGCCTCTCGTCATCCCACTCTGGGCTTGAGCCTTATTCTTAGGGTTGGGTTGGTAGATTATATAATTTGCGTCCTGACCACAACTTGTACCATTTTCCGAAAAACTGACGGCTGCTGGGAAAACAAACACCGTTTAAGTATTTGCTGTCTACATTGTTGCCTCCACACACTCCCCTGAAATGGTCCAACCAACTGCGCAATTTTCAAAAAAGTTTTCCTTTGAAATGCGGCTGGCGCCCACTCGGACTGAAGGCATTCCCTTTTCACGCGTCGTGGCGACAGCGGTTTGTTTCAGTCGTGGAAAAAAGCCTTTGCTGTCAAGGCTGTCATGCCTCTACTCCAGATCCTCTACTTCATCATGTTCTGCCTCTTCTTCCTCCGGCTGTTCCGCGTCATCACCAGGCTGCTCACCGGACTCAGCTTCAGCGTGTGAAGCTTGAACACGCGGGCGCATCTCGGCGTGCAATTGCAACTTCTTCTGCGTCACCATGGCAGCCTTACTGCAACTGAACTGGCCGGAGGTGGTAAAAAAGAAAGCGAAAAAGATGGCAAACATCCGATCAGCCAGGTAACCGCCAACTCCTGACAGTCTGCCTTGGAAGCTCCATTCTCCAACTCCTTGCGAATCTCCTCCTGGGAGAGTCCACGGAATCTCCAACCGGCTCCCCAAAGGAAGGAAAAATCACAGAAACAACAAGTAGTAAGTCTAAGTAGCGCGTCCAAAATTTCAAACCTTAAGTGAGTAGTTAGGTTTAGGTTTGAAATATTCTAAAATATATAGCTGCGCGGCAGCGATTTCCGCGTTGACATCAGCTGTCAGCTCAGGGTCGATCTTGAACTCAGCGTTCCGAAACAAGTCAACGTGAACTACTCATACCGCAAAGCAGGTTAGAACTAAGGAAGGCGCCGTCATCACTTGTTTGCCATCCACTTTGAAACCAAAAGTCGAGGTGGTATGGTACAAG